AACCTTCTAAATCTGAACTACTTTTTTTTTTAAGAAGCAAATGTTAGCGTAGTGCTCCTTTAGTGTGTGTGACCAGCAGGTATATTTGCTTAGTTCAGTCCATCCAGTGATGGAAGCCAGTTGGTCGTACTAAAGATTACTACTTTGAGTAGGGCAGGCACCCAGTAATGGTTCTAAAAAACCCAAAGCACCAAAAGTCTTGAATCTTTCAGAAGAACTAATTTGAAGATAGTTCAGCAAACTGACTGAAAACCTTCTACTGCTTTTTGCTGTCAGAGAGTAGCAGAGGGGTCATGAGGAAACAGCTCTATTAATGAATAACATTTATATCTTGCTATTCTTAGATATGATTTTTAAAAATGTATTTGGAGATGGCTTTTGTGATTTAAAATTATTAACTTTGCCTGTAAAATTCCAGAAAAATTATGCCAAAACAAGTACTCCAACTTTTGTCAAAAACAGGACAAATATCTGTAGCAGAGATGAAGTGGCATGCTCTGTGCCCCGTCCCATGAGCAGCTTTCAAAGTCTCTGCTCCAGACCTTGCCTCATGGTACAGCAATTGCTCCATCTTCTTTTCCACCTATTCAGAGGTTTCCTTCTCTTACACATGTACATATTTCCCTGTTGGAAAAGTTGTCTTCCCCCCACTCCATCTTTCCTTACTGTAAGGTGCAGCATGCTGCCACACAATGGTGAAGAGACTTTGCTCCCAGTTACATTTCCAGGTGTCTCCTCTTGTTTTGGTGGGGACATCGTGAATTCTTTCTGGATTCCCTCACACTCTGGGATGTGTGGCAGCCTCCTCTGTCCCTGCAGTCAGAATTATCTGTTCATTAGCACAGAAAGGACTGTGCAGTTACTTGAACGTGGGTCTTGCTTCTGTGCCAGTGTCACAGTGGAAACAGAAAACAGTTTTAAACCAAATGTGCTGCTTTTCTGCAACTGCCAGTGAGTCTGTGAACTTGACCTTAACAGACACAATGAACATTTGAAAAAACTTGGGTTCTGAAAGGCACACTGATTTCTGAAAGGAATAGATTAAAACCTGTTGACATGGTTTGAACTTCAGCCAGGTCTAACAGGCTTTGTTACAGCTTGGTTGCAAAGTTAGCAGAAATATATCAGTATTGTCAGAAAGCTGCTCATCCTCCTTTATCTAAAGCCCTGAAAAGAATATCTTGTGATGTTTTCAGGAAAATTTGAAACGGCTACGAGACAGCATAACCAGGAGGCAAATGGAGAAGCAAAAAAAAGACAAAAGTGCAGGTAACAGTCTCTGATTCTGACATTCTCGGGTAGTGAAGCAGCTAACAATATGAACAGGCTCTTCAGACAGAAATGTCTCTGTGGGTATTGTAGTTATATGATATCTTGATAGTCACATCCATGTGTGTGTTGGCTAAAACATAGGAAAATTACTTGACTCCTCAATTTCCCAGACTGAGGAAAGGATGCCCATATCTGATGTTAATCTCGATTCATTCATGTACAGTTATGATCACACTTACATGGTTGTGTTTAACTTTGTTCTGGGGTGCAAAGCTGTCTCTCAGAGGCTATGCTTGCATAGACTCTTCTGAGCTGTTCATTTTCCCTTCCAGATTTGGAAATTACAGTACCTATTCGACATTGTCATAAAACTTTGGGGAAACCAGAATGTGGAATATATGAATATGCCCCTAGGAAAAACATTTTCCAACCGAAAAAGGAGTTAAAGCGAGGAGACTGGAAAACAGAAAGCACATCCAGCACAACAAGTAAGCAAACCCTGAGTGTTGTCACCCTCTCTACAGAAAAGCGGGATGGAAAACACTTCCCTAGCCTGACTCTGGAGTCAGCTCAGGGGGCAGTTCCTGAATCCCCTTACTGGCACCGCTGCCCCAAACCCTGCATGACTCATGCTGGCTGTCCTCAAAACTGTAAAAGCAACTCCAGGTACATCAGGTAGTTCAGGCATCTTTGGGATGGCCTACATGCCACCAGGCTTGGTCAGATGAGTTTCGCCTTTCTCAAAGCGGGAAGAGGGTCTTTGCTCATGAGCTAGTGGAGCTCATTGACAGAGCTTTAAAGTAGACTTGAAGTGGGACTGGGATAATATCAGGCTTGCCCTTGACAAGCTGATAGCACTTGAAGAGCAGCAGAAAGGAATTACATCTAGTAAGTCAGCTTCATTGAGGGCCCAACTTAAATGCCTCTGCAAATGCATATAGCATGGGGAATAAACAAGAGGAGTTAGAGACATGTACATGCCTGCAGGGCTGTGATGTTATTGGCATCATGGAGATGTGATGGGATGGGACCTATGACTGGAGTGTTGGAATGGAAGGATACAGACTGTTTAGGAAGGACAGGCAGGGGAGATGAGGAGGAGATGTTGCCCTCTATGTCAGTGACCAGCTGGAGTGCATGAAATTCTGCCTGAGGATGGATGAGGAGCTGATCAAGAGTTTATAGGTCAGGATTAAAGGGAGGGCGGGGACAGGTGACATTATAGTAGGAGTCTGCTAAAGGCCACCTGATGAGGAAGACCAAGTGAATGAGGCCCTCTATAGACAGATAGAAGCAGCCTCATGTTCAGAAGCTTGGGTCCTCATGGGGGACTTCAAACACCTTGATCTGTTGGAGGGACAACACAGCAGGGTATAAGCAATCCAGGAGGTTCCTGGAATGTGTTCTTGATAACTTCCTTCTCCAAGTGACAGAAGAACCAACGAGGAGAGGTGCTATGCTGGACCTTGTTCTCACCAATAAGGAGAGGCTGGTGGGGAACGTGAAGCTCAAGGGCAGACTGGGCCACAGTGACCATGAAGTGGGTGGAGTTCAAGATCCTTAGGGTGGCAACGAGAGCACACAGCAAGCTCACTACCCTGGAATTCAGGAGAGCAGACTTTGGCCTCTTCAGTGATCCGCTTGGTAGCGTACGATGGGATAAATCCCTGGAGGGAAGAGGGACCCAAGAAAGCTGATTAATATTCAAGGATCACCTCCTCCAAGCTCAGGAGAGATGCATCCCAACAAAAGGAAGTCAGGTGAAAACGCCAGGAGGCCTGCATGGATGAACAAGAAGATCCTGGACAAACTCAAGCACTAAAAGGAAGCTACAGAGAGTGGAAGCAAGGACAGATAGCCTGGGAAGAATACAGAGAAATTGTCTGAGCAGCCAGGGATCAGGTTAGGAAAACTAAAGCCCTGATAAAATTAAACCTGGCCAGGGACATCAAGGGCAACAAGAAAAACTTCTATAGTTATGTTGATGATAAAAGGAGGACTGGGGAAAACATGGGCCCTCTCCAGAAGGAAACGGGAGATCTCGTTACCCAGGATATGGAGAAGGCTGAGCTACTCAATGATTTTTTTTTTTGTCTGTCTTCACTGGGAAGTGTTCTAGCTGCACTGCCCAAGTCACAGAAGGCAAAGGCAGGGACTGGGAGAATGAAGAACTGCCTGCTATAGGAGGTCAGGTTCAAGACCATCTAAGGCACCTGAAGGTGCACAAGTCTGAGACCTGATGAGGTGCATCTGTGGGTCCTGAGGGAACTCGCAGATGAAGTTTCTAAGCCACTATCCATCATATTTAAGAAGTTGTGGCAGTCTGGTGAAGTTCCCACTGACCGGAAAAAGGGAAACCCAGCCCCCATCTTTAATAAGGAAAAAAAAAAGGAACACCCAGGGAACTACAGGCAAGTCAGTCTCACTTCTGTGCCTGGCAAGATCATGGAGCAGATCCTCCTGGAAACTATGCTAATGCCCATGGCAAAAAAAGGAGGGGATTGGTGACAGCCAACATGGCTTCACTAAGGGCAAATCATACCTGACAAATTTGGTGACCTTCTACCACGGAATTATAGCATTGGTGAAAAAGAGAAGAGCAACTGACATCATCTACCTGGACTTGTGCAAAGCATTTGACGCTGTCCTGCATGACATCCTTGTCTGTAAATTGGAGACACATGGATTTGACGGATGGACCACTCGGTGGATAAGGAATTGGCTGGATGGTCGCACTCAAAGAGTTGCAGTCAATGGCTCCATGCCCAAGTGGAGACCAGTGACAAGTGGTGTTCCTCAGGGGTCAGTATTGAGTCCGGCACTGTTTAACATCTTTGTTGGCAACCTGGACGGTGGGATCGAGTGAACCCTCAGCAAGCTTGCTTACAACACCAAGCTGTGTGTTGTGGTCGATCCTTTGGAGGGAAGGGATGCCATCCAGAGGGAGCTTGACAGGCTGGAGAAGTGGGCTTATGAGAACCTAATGAAGTTCAACAAGGCCAAGTGCAAGGTCTTGCACATGGGTCGGGGCAATCACAAGCACAAGTACAGGCTGGGTGGAGAATGGACTGAGAGCAGCTGTGAGAAGAAAGACTTGGTGTGTTGATTGAGGAGAAGCTCAACATGAGCCGGCAATTTGCGCTCTCAGCCCAGAAAGCCAGCCATGCATCAGAAGGAGCGCAGTCAGCAGGTCGAGGGAGGGGATTCTGCCCTTCTACTCGGCTCTCGTGAGACCTCACCTAGATTACTGCATTCACCTCTGGGGTTGCCAACAGAAGAAGGACATGGAGCTGTTGGAGTGAGTTCAGAGGAGGGCCATAAAGATGATCTGAGGGCTGAGTGCCTCTCCTATGAAGTTAGGCTGAGAGAGTTCAGGTTGTTCAGCCTGGAGCAGAGAAGGCTCTGGGAAGACCTTCTAGCAGCCTTCTAGTACCTAAAGGGGGCCTACAAGAAAGCTGGAGAGGGACTTTTTACAAGGACATATACTGATAGGACAAGGGGCAATGGCTTTAAACTGAAAGAGGGTAGATTTCGATTAGGTGTTAGGAAGAAATTCCTCACTCTGAGGGTGGTGAAGCACTGAAACAGGTTGCCCAGAGGAGCTGTGGATGCTGCATCCCTGCCAGCGTTCAAGGCCAGGTTGGATGAGTCTTTGAGCAACCTGATGTAGGAGAAGGTGTCCCTGCCCATGGCAGGGGGGTTGGAACTAGATGAGTGGAAGATTGCCATTGAGCCTTGTCAGGGAAGGCATATCACCCATCTTCAGTTCTTACAAGTAGATGGCAGCTGCTCTTTTAGACAAAAGGATGCTCCTTCGCTGGACTCTCAGCAGGCAGTGTGCTATTCTGGTCTGAAGGGCATAGTTACATTGCAAGCTGGGAACCAGTCTCTATATGTTGTTTCCTTCATTGTTGTAGATAAAGGACAGCATTTTTCATTAACTGTGGTATCTCTTGAGTGACTTGGACAGTCTGCACATTTTTATTGTCTTTGTTTATTTGGTTTAATTTGTGCACATAAAATCCCTGCATTCTTGCTGTTATTGCCGACTGAGCAATTCTTGCAGAATTCAAGATAATTTTGGTCCTCTGAAAGGAAAACTGAGTCACAGTGAGGTTAGTACCTTTGTGGCTCTTGGCAAGATATAGCTGGCACACATCCAGAGGTATGGATCTGTAGGTACCAGAGGCAGCTGACTGAGCCAGTAACTTGCATATAAGCAGTCGTTAAAGAAATGTTAACAAGGCTGCAGAGTTCGCTGTGTGCAGGTTGGCTCTCTTTCCCATGGCGTGACTGTGAGAACGGACTCTAACACAGTATTTAGCACTCTGAGTGCTGCAGTTTGTACCCACTGATAATGAGAGTTACCTCACCAAGGCTAGGGAGGGACTGCAGCTTTTGAGAAAACCTCTCTAGCCTCTGTTTCAATGTATATGTTTCTGAACATTAATGTCCTAGTATTGCACAGCTCTATAGAACATTATGTATTTATGACTGAAACCAGCCATAGCAGTGTAGGATATGTTTGTGAGTTGCTGTTCCCTTCAGAGATGGCATGACTGATTGCAAAAACATTCCCTACTCTGATTCCATGCAAATTAAATGGATTTGCATAAATGGTTGCTGAAGGTTGTTTGAACAAACTTGTGATTTTTATCTCTGAAATAGACTAGGAAACGTTCCTGTGATGAGTAGGGATTGTTGTGAGAGGAGGTGGTGAATGGCTATTGGGAACAACAACCTCTCAAGCAGTCACTTATTCCAGGAATGAATGTGTGGCAGTGCTCAGAGCCATCTACCTCCATGCAGTTGTTAAGGACACGGGAACTGATAATTTATATATACATAAATGTTGGGTGTGTAACACTTGTGAAAATATTTACCTGACTTGCCAGCTAATACTGGCACTGGATCCTTTCAGTTAGATTATGGTTGAGACCTAGATAGGGCAGGAATCTGCTAGAAAGAAAGCAAAACTGAATGGTTTGGTCTTGAGGTCTGTGTTGTATGAAATGCTGTTGTTTGGATCCTGAACATGTGAAAAATAACAGTGGAAATAAATTAATCTAAACAAGCATTTAATGATGTGCGCAAGAGGTAAGCATGAGGTTAGAAGGAGTCCTAAGTTAGTGATTTGCAGTTAAATCACCAGGATTTAATAATCAGTTTGTTTTCTCTTGCTTGCGCCAGGTAGTGCAAGTAACCGCTCCAGCACTCGGAGCATATTGAGTGTCAGCAGTGGGATGGAAGGGGACAGTGAGGTAAGCTCTCACCTTTGCTTTACGGGTACACTGTTCTTAACTACATGGCTTGTTTCCATCCAAAAGAAAAGGAGCTCAAGGATGGCATTGCATTTCCAGAAATGGCAAAACGTAGCCACTTCTGTTGTGAAGCTAACAAGAACCAAATTCTGCTGATCTGTAACTTTTCTTTATTTTGTAGGATAATGAAGTCTCAGAAACAACTAGAAGCCGCAGCCCAGTTGCCTACCAAGCGGAGAGGCTGCCTTTCCCAGAAAGGCCTCCCAGAGTGCCTCCCCGAGGTGCAAGCAGGTACAGCTAAAATGCAGCTCAAACATGGGCTTTCAGTGAATCAATATGGAAGCCTTGGGCAGAAAGCAAGGCAGGAAGCAAACGTGTCTTTCAACAAAATCTACCAGACTATAATCTGTAAACACACACTATTAGGAACTGCAAAATCCTTGTTTCTCATCTGTAGTACTTGGTGGAATTGGTTTCCTAGTTGGTAACTTGCCTGTTGTGCAATGCTGTTACTGTGGTTCAAACCCTGCAAGGGACAGCACTGTTGAAGCACATGACACTTGACCTAGAAAGACGGACTCAGGTGGAGTAGTATCCTGCCCCTGGCAGAAATTTAGTACCTGATCCTCCTGAGAAGATTCTCTTGGTACATACAAAGTGTAGTGGAGAGGGAATTCCCCTTTGGCATTCCCTTGGAGTTTTTTTTCTTTTTACAAATTTCAGATCTCTCCAAAGCACGCTTGCTTACATGTATGATTGGCCTCAAAGTAAGAACTGCACTGGCTTTATAAAAGGTATTGAGGGGTTTTTGCCTTGATTTGATCACACCACTACAAACTTGTAAACATTCCTTTAGTCCAAGCAGTGCAAGATTATGAAGTCCAGGTCCCAGAGGCTTATCTAAGTACAGAAGCTAATAAAACTCTCCAACAGTTAAAATAGTAATTACTAACGTATGGGTGCAGTAAGTTCTGTATGTTGCCTTGGCTCTGGCAAGAATATAGCTGGAATTTATCTGTAGTTAGTTTGAAAAAAAGATTTTAAATGTTTTGATCTCTTCCTATTGCTCATCATCTAATTTTCAGGAAAAAGCTATTATACTGTCAAAGTTTTATTCCAACCAAGTATTAGAACATTAATAGTAGAATTACTGCAGCTGAAGAGCAGAAGAAATAACTTGGACAGGAACAGGGCTCTGGCACCTTGGCACCTGCTCTGTTGCTGAATCACTGATAGTCTGTTTTTCTTCTTGTATGACTATTGCTTGTACAGTATTCTTAGATATGTTATTGCATGCAATGTGTTATTCCAGAAGCCTATTCTCTGCTGGGTTTTTTTATGCATTTGTATTCTTTGTCTTTTTTTATAGGCCTGTAAGCTGTGAAGGCTTTTATCCTCCACCTGTGCCCCCAAGAGGTCGCTGAATCTCTCAACATCTGTGGAATATGAGATTTTTGTTTGTATGTGTGTTTGTACAGATATTTTTGGGTTGTCTTAAATTATTTATAAGTGGGAGCCAAATGTTTTCTTCCCTGTCCTGCTCCCTAAAGCTCTGGTGACTTTTCCCACGATTTTCAGTGAAACTTCTTGGCCTTCTATAACTTTTTTGCTTGGAACAATTTTGGTGCTTTGGGACTTGAAGAAAAAGTATCATGTTTGGGAAGGAGAACACTGATGCGTGTCTTGGCAGCCTTGCACCAACATGAAGTTTCCCTTTGACCAAGAAAGAACACATGTCCTTTTAGAAACTAAATCTTGATAAGCAATGTTACCAAAACCTTCAGTATAACCTAAAAGGGCTTGACTGGAAAACATGCTTGAAAAAAGTAAAGAAAATACTTTGTTTGAAGACCTTGTTTGAAGAACACTCATTACAGCAGGAGCAGGTGGATGTACTGTTGTTTGGCGTAACATCTTGGGTATGGACATACTGACCTTTCAGAAGGTGTCGAATCTCCCTCCAGTAATCATTAAACCATGGGAGGATGAGAAGTTGTCTTTGTTCAAGAAAGTATTTTTGCATACAGCCTTGAAAACACCTTTCCCCTTCCCTCCCTGAAGAGGACAGACATTAACAAGGTGTTGTGTGTGCTGCATTTACGATGAAAATTCCCAAGGCAGCTGGTAAGGGACCTGCTGTATCACAAAACAACTGTAGTTAAGCCTTTTTTTGGGGCAGGGCTGAGTATGCTGTTGCTTGAAATCACATGAATGACCTCTCAAATTAGAGGAAAGAATTGGCAGCAATGCTGTATTCTGTGTCTGTTACGCATGTTCATTGTAGAAGCAATGTGAAGGCGTTTCACTTCACGCTCTGGAACAGTGTAGTGAGTCTCCAATATAAATGCCCACACCTCACAAATACCAGCTGTGGAGTTAGCCTGCTGCACTGGAAACAGGCAGCCTCGGGGCTGGGCTCTGCTTGATCTGCTCTTCCTTTCTAGCGATGTCAATCTGCAACACCTGTGTCCAGCCTTTTTTCTGCCTGAGGACTTAACAGCTTAGGGAAAGCTTCCTGGTTGGCTCTTCTGTGTTCCAAATGTAGAAAGCATGTAAAGCAGAAATTAATTTTGATTCCTTATCTCAAGGGACTCAAATGATGGAATTGAGGTGTCCTGGGTATTCCTACTTTTTTATTCCAGGCCTTGCAGTCTTCTGTGCCTTGGGGGACAAGTATAGGGCTCTGATTGTCCATGAGTGACACAGATGGGAATTCTGCAAGATAACATTCAGGGTAGAGAATTAAGCTTACTTGGTTTTCGAGCGATTCCCCCTCTTCCAGCCCTGAGAGAGACATAGATACATCTGTATTAGTTGATCCCTCAGGTACAGGTAGGACATGTAAGGCTTGTGTTTGGTCATGTAAGATCCCCTTGATCTGTAAGAGAGCAGGTGATAGAGTTGTAGCTCCTTTCTGTTGCAGGGTGGCAAAGCCAATGTGCGGAGATGCAGGAGTGACAGACAGCAACTGTGACTCAGCCAGCACTGAGTGAAGGTGGAGAAGCCCCTGCTAAGGCGTATAGGCATAAGCTAAATATCATCTACACGTTGCACTCATAGGGCATGACTCCAAGTGCAGCTCAAATAGTGTCTCCTTTTGATGATAGAGGGATGCAGGTGTTGTGCTGGAGGCCTATAGCTACAGAGGTGACCTTTTTCTTTTTTTTTTTTACTTTTTTAAAGGACCTCAATGCCTTCTCCAGTAACTCTGATGCTGCTGACTCTCAAGGACAGTTTGCTTTTTGTTCACAGTAGCCAGGGGAATGGTGAGGTGGGAGCTGCCTTCCTGTGGTGTTCTTGGAACAGCACAAAGTTCCTAGCACTATTTGGTCAAATTGGAAGCAGAGAAGGAGGATTTGGTGCTGAAATCAGGATAATGGTAGCATGGATAAATGAAGGAAATGGGGATAAAATAAATTAAAGGAGGAAATTCAACAGCTTGATTGTCTACAGCTGTCACACATTCTTTGGTTTGCACACAGGTCCCTGGATTTGCTTGAAAGTTCCCCATCTCCTTTGTATTGGCTGCAGCTGTGCTCCAGAGCTTGGAGCTGTGGTGTGATAAGAGCAATTATCTGCTTCCACATATGCCAGGGGCAACATAAGGTAGAAATGTAGGATGTGGAGAAAACTGTAACGTAACAAGGCAGGAAGGGAAGAGCAAAATATGAAAGTGTCATGCACAAGATTGCTTTTCAAAACTGTTGGACTGAAGAAGCTCAGGAATTTGTCTTCCATGGCTAATTTTTAATTCTGCACTCACTGCATGTGGTAAACCCCTCCCACAGAAGACATTTGGCTATCTGAACTGTACTTGCCTTTGCACAAACCTAATAACATGGCTGTGAACCACTGGATTTTAATTGCTAGTCCTGCAGTAAGATGGTTTATATCTGAATTGCTGAAAAGTAGCTTATAAGTAGCCTTTCAGTCCTGGTCCTGTTTGCTGCTCAGATACTTCCTTAGTCTGACCTGACCTGTCACACAAAACCAAATGCTAGTGGAGGGGTCTTGGAGAAGAGGTGAGCTGGGACAGGTGGGACTGAGTAAGATTATAAATGCAGTCTGTTCTGGCTCCTCTGCACTGTGTGAGGGGAAAATACCCAAGATACAGCTGTAGTCTCAGGCATTCCCTTCTCACTTTCTCTTTGTAATTTCTCCTGGATTAGTTATGGATCTCAATTACAGCAAAACTATCACCCTATCGAGGAGAAAAGGAACAGCACTAAAATGGCTTCACTGTTAAATGCAGGTAAACAATCAGGATGCAGGTATGACTTTCATGTCTCTTGCAGGCCAGGAGCGATTCACCTTCTTAGCCACCAAAAGGTGTGTTCCACATTGGTTTGGTTTCGTTTAGTTGTTTTAAGCCTCTTATGGCTTAGTGCATGGAGTTGGTTTATATGTAGACTCCAGTTGTATGGCCTCCACCCAAGATGAGAAGTGCACTGAAACTGAAGCTCAGAAGAGACTGGAGAAGAAAATCACATGCAACCAGATTGTTGGTTAATCAAGAATATGCTTTGGATGGGGAGAGTGGGAATGAAGTGTGTTTCCATCCAAGATTAGAGCTCAAGGACTGAACAAATAATAAAATTGCTGGTAAAAAGTAAATGCCCTGGCTACCTGTCAGGGCATCAACCAATCCACCAAGCTCAGTTGGCAGCTGGCTGGCCCAGGGAAAGTGTTTGCTCTTTGTACAGCGAGCCTCACAAAACCTGCTGCAGCAGATGGCTCTGGCTGGCCCTGTTGTTGACTGAGACTTACATACTGAAAAAACTGAAGATGCTGAAGCCTCCTCTCTGTGTCTCCCAAGGGTGAGCTACTCTGTTTTGGACTGAGATGGAACAGCTATAAGGAAACATGGTGTTATCAAAGCTGTCTAGGTTTTTCTTTTTTTTTTTTAAATATAAAGAGGTTATATATGGGTTTTGGGTTTTGATGAGTATTTACAGAATCATAGAATCGTTAGGGCTGGAA